TTTACTTAATTGTAATTTTAAACACAAGAATAATTTCTTAGCAATTTAGAAGGTGAAATTCGGATGATACATTCAAATCAAAAGGCATAATCATGTAGATAGAACTTTTTTAAATTCGGTATTTTATATATAATTTTATATATAATTTGATAAAAATCATATGAAACTTAATTATCTGAACCCCCCAACTATAATTACGTAACATGACTTTATCGTAAATAACATGATAAACTCTAGATTTTGGTAATCGAATTATTTATTATTAAACAACGAAAAAAAATAGATTTATTTTACATAATAAAGAAAAACACAATAATATAAATAATTATCATTCTATTTTATTGCAAGTAAAAGCGGCCTTAAACGCTTTCTATTATTATTAAGTTTTTCGTTTTTAGGAACAGGAGTATTAGTATGTGCAAGTTTGGTTGAATAATTATCATTAGTAAATGTTGTATTTTCATTTACATGAAGTACAAGATGAATAGAGGTTTCAGTGTTAGGTTCTGTACTAATAGCCTGCGAAGTAGATTGTAAAGAAGGAGATTCGGTAGAAGAAGTTTCTTTTTGAATCTGCAAAGCAACTTTGGCAAAACCTAGGGATGTAGTTTTATCGCTTGAAGGTTTGTTAAGAGAAGAATTTTGCATATTAATTCTTTATCTTTTTTGAGGCAAGTGAGATAATATAGCATATTTTTCTTTAATATTATCAAGTTCTGTATCGAAATCTTCTTGTGAAGATGCTTTTCCGATAGTTGAAGCATGCGAAGGTTGAGAGTCATCAATTGCATAAGTCCATTCAATATCAGAAGTGAGAATATGAGGAAGTCTTTTTGATCCAAGTTTCAAATGACCTACAACAGATAAGACTGTTTTTTTTAGATCATTTTTTAGAGCATTATAATGATTGTTTTCATTTATATATGATATGATAACTTTGGAGTCACCATGTTTATTGTTAGTAATTTCATTATACAAACACCTTGCTAATATAAAACTTTCCTGACTCCCTTTATTATGAGGAATATAAGAATTTGGTGCTACAGAAGCCAAGTAAATTAATAAGGGAGATGAATTCGGGAGATCTTACGGGGTAAGAGTGTATTCATCATCAGAATAAGAAACAGGAACTGATTGAATTAATGTAGTCTAGAAGAAACAACAAAATGTGAGCTGAATTTACAATAGTTTGGGTGTTAATAATAATATTAATCAATATATATGTATTCTATATTCTTTTCATATGCATAATGACCAGTTATCAAGATGATAGAGTTTTTTTTGAATGGCGTAATCAATAAATCAGGATTGTTGATAATGTAATTTCTCTAAATTTGTCATCATTATTGTTAATTCAGTATAACGTGATTTCGATGACGTATTTAACATTTCTGGTAACACTTTTAATAAAACAAAAAGCTACGAATAAGGATGACATAACGATGACTCAAAAATTGATATTAATCAGCATATTACAAAGAACAGATTTATGTATGAAGAAAAACAATGAGGTAATTCACTAGTGGTGTGGTGTAATAGTTCAGTGTATAGTCAAAATATTATTAATTTTGAACCTTTATTTTAAGTTACAGAAATTTACAGAAATTTAACTGAAAGGTTTTTTGTTTTTCTACAATAACAAAATTCACAACATTTTTATAACTTTCATTTAGTGAGAGGCTCAAGAGGCTTTAGTTGGACTTTTACTTTTTTACAGTCAAAATTTTTATAATCTCAAATGGATTTTTTCAAAAAGAGCTTTTTGAGAATTAACTATTATCTTTATTATCGTTATGACTCACTCACAATCTTCATAATTTTTTTATTCGATTTTGAATCGAGCCCGATATATAGCTTCTTCTTTTCAATATATTACCCATATATTATATTTAGTTATACCCTTCTAGCATATCACCTCCGCATTATATTGACTTATTCTTTTCAAAAATATCATAGTGTATTATTATGACTAATTCTTATTATGCATTAGTTATCTACCCTCACTTCATGAATCACATCGTATAATTCATAGCCTCATTTAATGTGATGCAATTTTTTATTCTATTTCAGATGTATCATTTTTAGTCTGTAACATCGATAATTGTGAAATAAGAAATCAGGTTTGATAGACACAATATGTAACATATTGTGATATCGTGCGGCTAGGAAAATTAATCACACGAACGCTTCGTTTCTTATAAAACAAAACTTTAGATTATCAATTCATCAGAGCGGCAAAAAATCTGAACGAAAAAAAATGCAAAACAAAAAATAATGAATTCGTTTATAATAAATCTACAAAAAATTATAAAATTTTCTGATATATCATTAAAAAATTCATACATTTTCTTACAAATACATTTGTAAAATTTTTCAATACCTTGGACCAATTATTATCTAGGTCTATTCTGCTTTACTCTATCACAAGATCAAGATCATATCATATTAATATTAAATATTAATAATAATAATTAATATCAAATATTAACATTTAATATTTTAATATAGTAGACTATACACAACGCTTTTAAAATTGTGATACGGTTAAGTGCTTTTTTTTAGACATTTTTTCGCCAAAAATGGGTGTTGCCATATTCCACACGACCGGGAAAAGTAAAAAATAGGAAAATCATGTTGCACCAAGTCCAGATCGCCGTATAAGTGCGTTAAAATTTTGCCATAATTACTAGAAAATTTTTACCTAGCTAAAAAATCATCATTAATAAATTTTATTATAAGACCATATATAGTTTTGATTTACATAGTACGCCGCACACCCCAACAAGACGTGGCTATACCTTAATTGTTATTCAAATAGGGCTTAAATGAATTTTTGTGTATTGCTGCACAGGAATATCGAGAAGAGTTTTATGGAATTAAAGTGAGGAGAATGTGTACGTACGTCTGCGATTTTCATACCATATTTTTATTAGTGGACTTAACATTTATATAGGGATGGAAAATGTTTTAAATCGGAATGTTTAAAATATGTTTGTTTGATTTAAAACTGTTTTTAAATGTTTTAATACATTCTGACATAATCATGATACGTAACAATGGATAGTGTTTATTTAATTAATTTCGTCAAAATACAACTTCATCGCTATCTCTTTTTAAAATATAAAATTATAAACAGTCATGCTCCATGGAAGACCTCCATTAAAAGAAATTCGCTTGAACTTTACAAAAGTTACGGAAACTGAAAATTTTGGTTGAACTACGCCACGCCAAAAGTGTAGCTACTGAGGATCTTGCGAATTTACTCGCTCGATTAAAGGATCACTTATATAGATGCAAATAGGTTCCAAAAAGTATGAAAATTTTATTAAATAATGCCGATATTCAAGGCTCCGGTTCAAATGAAGATGAATAACTGTGCAGCAGAACGTTGCTGGTCTAACTTTGGGTATATTCATAATAATCGTGCACGTCTAGATAATGAACAGGTAGAAAAACTTGTTACAGTCTATCAAAATTTGTGAATTCAAAAAGGAATTGAGATTGATAGTTGGTTCGAAGACGATGATTACTGATAATTGACTTTATAATTATGCATTAAATTATATAAAAAGAGCGTACAAATATATATATATATATATATATATATATATAGTTAGGCAATTGCGCCAATGTTTTAAAAAGTTTTTTAAAAAGGTTTAAACCATCTAAAAAACTGTTTAAATCTTTTTTTTTTCATCCCTACATTTATATTCTAGAGTTTCATTCGATAGTAAAGTGCGATTTTTATACATTATTTATAGTGTAAGTTACGTATATAGAACTACGTTTGAATTTGTCTACAGAATCATATAATCACGGCACTTGTAGTTTGCAATAAGAGTTATAAGATATAAATTGCTGCATTGCCTTAATATCGTTTTGCCAAAATATCACAACAATAGTGCATAACAAAAGATGTGGAAAGAGTGTA